AAAAAAAAAAAAAAAAGAAATACAGAAATGTGTATTTTGAAGTTTGGAGAAGGAGACAATTTTTCAGTATTTTGAGACTCTTATAATTAGAAGAGGTTCTATCTACTAAAGCCACGGTGTGACGTTTGGTACTATGTAAGTAGGATGTGTTATAAGGCATATGACTTAACAACAGGACCTCAAGAAATACTATGAAGAAGTTAACACTTCTGCCGACCATCTTTACAATTAGTTGGACTTGTAAACTGTGCACCTTGTAGAAGTTTTTCATTCTGTTTTTGTTTTTTTTTTCTAATTTCATACCGTTAGTTCTAGTATTGGCCACCAGGTAGCAACAGTGCCTTGAATAGCTCAAGTCTCATAAATAGGAAACTGTTGCAAACCAACAAAAAGGTTAAGTCACACACCATCAGGAGGGAAAGAAGTGTTGAGAATCATGAATTTTTAATTCCTCCCTGGGCCTGTGTCCTCCTGCTGCTTATTACAAATGCAGGTGTAAATTACCGAGTGGCCACAAGCAGCTTCCAGGCCCTGCCAATCCATCTTCACCATCCATCTCCTTCCTTACTGTGACATTACACCTCATTTTAGGGCCACTGCAACAAAATGAGGTGAAAGGCAGGTGGCAAGGGACAGTGTGGATCATGCGAGGAAAGTGCATGACAATTACAGACAAGAAGAGACTGAAATCATGAGGGAGGTGTAGGGAAAGGGTGCTTATTTCTCTTCATGGACGTATCCAAAACCCAATAATATTTATGAGATTGTTTTTTAACCATGAGAAGCACATTTATGCCAATCTAGAAAAATCAAATATGTTATTTTAGATTTTTCTTCTTCCTTCGCCCTCAGCCATACCTCTGGGTATTCTAGTTGTGCGTGGAGACTGTGATTTGGAGACTTGCCGTATGTACATAGACCGCCTACAGGAGGTGAGTTTTATTTAGCCAATTATTTTATTCTCCTTAGCTTTCCATTTTTGTAAACAGTTACCAGCCATATATATTTGCTTCTGAAGTGATGCATCTGGGGAGGCTGTGGCTATGTGGCAGCCTTGGTCTTCAGCATTCACTGCATGTCTCCCTCCTCTAACCCCTAAGCTACTTCCCTCCTCTGGTGGTTACAGTGGGAAAGGATGGGTTGGGTTCACTACAGGGTGCCAATGCACTGGTGGGTTCCATAATTCTAGCTTGGGATGTCTTGTCTTCTTGTCAGACTACATACCGATATTTTTGAAGCTATACAGAATTTTGAAAAGAGATTATTTAATGTTTTACATCTAAAACAGACTTCTATCAGAAATAGCTAGATTTTTTGAAAGAAAAAAAAGAAACTTCTACAGGAAAAAAAAAATACTATATTTTATGGGAATTTGTCAGAGCCCAAACAGATAATCTATTATTTTTTTCCTCAATCTGGCCTTGTCCTAGAGAAATAGAAAGGAAGTGATCCCATATTTCCCCAAATTTGACTTACATCAGCAAAACCAAGAGACTTAGACTTATCAGTACAATTGTCATTGGTTGTTTTTGCAGAATTCCAAGAGGGAATATTAACTGTCTCAATTCCACTAATGGCAAAAAGCATAAATAATAATTTCTTTCTCGTTGTTTCTTGATGAAAGATACACATTAGAGTTACTTTTCTCAGGTAGGACTGAAACATTTGTATTTTTAAAGCTGTTGTGATTCTGATATGTACCTATTGATAAGCAGCTCTCTCCCAGATGATATATCATACACAGGTAAATATCATGAATGAAGTAGACATATAGTGCTTAGAATCACTTCAAGTTGTAGCCATTTGGCTTTGAATATGAGATTCTGTTTCTCTTGGAAGGAATAAATTCAGGTGAAAGGCACAGAGTGATGTGAAACATTACTAAATTTTAGAAAGAGATGTCAAACTTTGAATACTAATATGGATGAGTCTACAAATTTTATACTTGTGACTTTATTTAATTATTTTGACTGAGGAGGATAACTGCTTTAAGTTAGAATTTGTAAATGTTTACCCTGTGATTTAGGTTTAAATCTTTCTAGAACCTCCAATATCTCATTTTTCAAAAGAATTTTGTAGTGTATGGTGGAATCTCATTGAACAAATCAAAAATAAAAAAATGAACCCCAATTGGTACCAAACCTTTTATTGTTTTTATCTCTCAGGTAACTTTGTTGATAAGACTTCATGATAATCAAATATATGACTGATGAATTGACTTTGCTGAAATACAACTTAACCAACTTCTTGGCATATTCAACCAAAAGGAGGATTCTAAAAAAAAAAAAAAAAAAAAAGAATGGAAAGAATTAACAAATAAAGAGGAAAAGTTTTAAACTCACTTGGGGCCTGTGGGAAGCAGGTGTTAGGACAGAGGTAGTCGGGACCGCTGACATCTGTAAATTGAATCGCTGCACTCATTAGCAAGGCAGCCTGGGAGACATGACAGTGGTGACAACTTCATTGTAAAACTTTATAAAGGGAGTCAGGCTTTCAGAATCTGCTAGCAAAACCTTATTAATTTCAACCTTGTTAATGTGCCCTTCGTGATAATGCAGAAATGGTAGGTGATTTTCTCTTTGCAGTCTGTGAAAACCCCTTTGCCAAGTGACTTATCGGGATAAACACAGTTACTGTGACAGTATGTGTTTGATCTAAGAAATGAAATTCTTTCTGTTAAGGGTTTAAAGGGACTTCAGAACCATTCTTCACAAGGCAAAAGTTCAGAAGAAAATAAAACATGATCCCCACTTAGTAAAACAAAATTGCTTCTTGTTTACTTCTGGTTTCCTCTATCCCTGGAATTATAATGCATCATTCACCTCTAAACACTATTTAGGATTTATAAGTTCTAATAGCTAAATGACCTTCTTTCAGTCCAGCTTGCTGTGCTTTTATTATTTCTGGCATTGCCTTCTTTGTTTGGCCTCGATGGGTTTGGGTGAGTTAGACGCTTTCCAGATGAGCATAATAGCATTCAATTGGGAGTTCAGTTGATAGAGCTGTGGGGCAGCTTGTTCAAACTAATTTTAAGGTACGGATTTTTTATTTTTTTTCATTTTTCTCATCAGGACCTGCAGTCAGTTTCTTCTGGCTCCCAGAGAGTTCATTACCAGGTAACACATAATCGACTCTCCTTGTTTCTTACCTTCTGGCCAAAAGTCCATCTTTCAATTAATGTCTCATTCTGACTGAGAGTCCTCATCTTCCCTAGGGATAGAGTTCATTTTAAGAACTTCGTAAGGTTGTTATTCTGATTCTTTTGCATTTTCATGATTTTGGACCAGCCTGGTCTAGCACGAGTACAGACGATGAATTTTTTCCCATCATTTAGAAGAGATTATAAAACAAAAGTGCTTTCAGTGACAGAAAGAAACTCCAACTCAAGCTCACTTAGGAAGGAAGGGTCTATTGGTTCCCATCAGCAGAAAGTCCAGATCAAGGGTGGATTTCGTGCACCATTTAGTCCTGGTTCACACCATTTTTCTGCTGGTCATTCTGCTTTGTTCTCCTCTTTCTGCCAATTTCACACCTGGGCTAGAGGCTTTCATAGTTCACGATGATGGCCATCAGTGGCCAGGGCGATATGTTATTTCCTTCACATCCAGGGAAGGGAATTCCCTGCTTTCCACAATCATGAAGCAAAAGTTCTAAAATGTAATTTAGTTGGTTCATCCTTGTCTTTTGGACAAGAGCCAACAAACCCATTCTTCCTGTCTCTTTTACATGATGAAGTCCATCGGAAGGCACCTGGTTGTCCTTTGCCCCCACAGGCTTTGAGAGTGCAGCTTGTTCCCAGTTTCCCCTCCTTTCTGTGCTGCCTGGATATCATCCTCTGTCCTCTTACCAGTAAGTTTCCAAGCAGGATGCAGGTTCCAGTCCACAGTCTCATCCCAAAGTGCACGGGGCCCATACTATGCTCTTTGAACAGTTCCATTAAAGCCCCCTTTCTTTGAGAGCCCGTTGTATATCCTGGCCTGTTAGGAGGGGTATGTGGGAATCATAGCACTGCCAACAACTCTCTCCAAATAAACCTGCACAGACCCTTTTATACCTCCATATGGGGAGAGATTTAAACATGTCTAAATTTATAAATCCTGGCTTAGCACCTCTCTCTGACTTTTGGTGTCTATTTTCCTACACCTGAAACTTCCAGATTAACATACTTTAGCATAAACAACAAAAGCAACAATTAAAAGAAAACCCTTGTAGTCATCTAGGTAGATTTCTTCCTCTGCCAAAAGAGACCCTCTCTCCTCAGTCGAAACAGCTCATTTATCTTTAGGCTGACTGACATGAATGGCCTTCAGGTTTGTATTGGTTTGTGTGTTTATTTTTCAAACAACACATTATACAATTCCAGAGCTCTTCTTTTTATCTGGCTGCAGCTGAAAGAGAGTCACTGAGGTGTTTATGTTGAAAAAATAAACTACTTCTAGACTGTTTTTTACCAACTATTAAAAGGTAAATTTCTACCTCTTTTTTTTCTTGATAAATAGACCACAGTCTTTCTCACACTGGCTATTTGTATATTTTCCTAGACCCAATATCTAGGGGTAATTTTATTTTACAAAGTGTAGTGCTTTTGAAGAGTAGCGTTGATCTCTAACAATTGGCAGTGATAGTTACTATGAAGGTCAGTTTCTATAAAAGGGTTTGTAATTTTTGTTTCTGGGCATTTTGAACCTTTGTGATTTCATCAAAATTTGCAGAACATTAATACTAACTAGTTTTATGAAAATAATACACTTATTATCCTGGCTTTGGTCACGTAGTCATTTTGCCACGAGAGTTTTGATCGTGGCTATCTTGTGTCAGATTTTCCTCAGGCCGTGGTTGTACACATCTGCAGAGGTAGGAATGGATGAGACTCCAGGATATGATGAGGAACTGCTGCGTTATAAAGGTCACACCAGAAGGATTTGGGGTGTGTAGGATAACTAATGCCATGATTAAGGGTGCATGCCAGGAGCATCACCTTTCCCATACCTGTCCTCAGGATGATGAAAGGAGGGAGCAGAGCTTTCGAAAGCCAGGCCTTTAACTAGTATGGGATAGCTGGAAAAAAAAGGTCTGAACAGCCCAGGATCTACTGCTCATTAAACAGGAAGCTTAACCAAGAGAGAAATTGTGTTAGAATTAACATGGCAGAGCACAGGGAGAAGAAGGTAAGGAATTTCCTGAACAGGACATGGATTGCTGGCTGAGACAAGAAGTTGGGCGAGTTAAACTTTCACAGTTGGCTGAGATCCTTAGTGGAGGAGTGAGCTGGAAGGATGGGGATAGGGAGGTCTGTTAGCCACACCGATGTCAATGTGCCTTAGATCCAAGAGGTTTGGTAAATGTGAGTATTGAAGCTCATTAAGACATCCAGGCCCAGAGATAGAAATTTGGGTATCCTCAGCAAAGCTGGAAGAGATCCCCCGGGGAGTGTGGAGATAAAGAGGCCCCAATGTTATGTCATTTATTCATTAGTCAGCAAGAACACAGGTTGAAGGGAGCAATTCATCAGGAAGACCCATGGAAATTGGGCTGAACAGCAGGAGAGCCAGAAATTGAGGAGAAAACAGTGTTACGGACACCAAGAGTGAAATGTATTTCAGAACAGAAAAATTAAGGGACCTCCGAATGCTGTTGAGAGGCTGAGATGATATGCATCAATTTCTGTGTCTTTTTCTAGGTGTGCATATTCGAAAATACATGTGATATAGGTGCTATTAACTTTTATGGAGAAAGAGACAAAACCAACTGGCAGGATATTTAATACTAATTTTATTTTTTGTTTCTTAATGCAGAAACTGATAATATCAGAATCCCTGGTTGGTCCCAGTAGAGATTGGGGTGTTGTTGGATTAAAAACTGTAAGAAACGTGAATGCCTAAATGCCTTAAATGCTTTTTAATGAACTGTCTTTTGTATGAGGTGGCATTAAATATGCTTAGAGAATTAACTGTGAAGAGAATGAATAAACACCAGTAAGTTTTCAAGCTTGAGAAATTCCTGGCAGCTCACTAATTTGCAGCTGAGATTTTAGCTGACTCTTTTCAAAGGCTAGGGGAAAACTCAAGAGAAAAGCTGCCTTCAGAAAGGTGTTCCTGTGCCCAAGATACCTTATTAGTGAGCCATATGGCAGCTCCTCGCCACTTAAGTATTTCATTGCTTTGGTTTCTCCCTTTTCTAAACACAAACTGAATTGCCGACAAAGCACCAAGGCTCAAACACAACGCCTTGTGTTAACCTAACAAGGCATTATGGGTCATACAAAATACGTTGGCTGCTTCTCACCTGCTGAAAATTCCTGCCTACACTATCTAATCTGAGGTCAAAATACAAAGGCCTCCTCCACCATAGCAGCATTTATGTAACTAAAAACCCATGAATTAGATGAGCAAAATGCCTCATGCTTGCAGATTTAGGATATTCTTGAGATTGGGGAATAAACTGGGACCTATAGAGAAGTTGGGCTCTATCTGTCGATTTGATAAAAGATGCTTCCTGTGGCTACCTACTAGGAAACAATTCCTTCTCTGCTTCCATCCTAGAAATCATTATATTCTTTGTTAACTCCAAGTCAAAATATTACTAAGGAATACAGGTAGATTCAACCATTCCGTGGTTCTCAACCTGTGGAAGGTTTTGCACCATCTCATAGGAGACATCTGGGTGTGACTGGAGACCTTTAGTTGGAATCTATTTAGCAGAGGCCCAGGAGGCTGTTAAACACCTCACGATCACAGGGACGCCCCCTACCAGAACGAGTTATGCAGCCATCCATCCCAAACACCAGCAGTGTAGAACTGGAGAGATTCTGAGATGTTCTAATGGTCTTCAGAACATAACTGAGGACCATGGAAGGTGTAAGTTCTAGATGAGGAAAGGGGAAGAATAAAAAGGGAGGAACAGGAAGGGAGTGGACATAGAGGCACCTGTGACTTCCATAGGGAAGAATAAATTGTGGACCAGCAGCAAGTAGGGGTTTTTCACAGACATTCCGGGTCTCCCCATCCCCCCAGGCAGATGCTCTGAGGGACACTAAACATTGTGTGTGTTGTGCCTTGATATTTCAGTGACTGCCGTAGGATTCAGTGGTAGGTTCAAAAATGCATTCATCCAGGTGATTCCTTTCTCTAAGAATCAATTTACTTAAAATTAACACTAGCATGGTTGGAGTATGTAAGATTAGGTATAAATTTTATGAAAAGTCTTTTCATCCTTTAGAGTAGCACAGATGTCTTCACTTCCATAAGAAAAATCAACTCTTGGTCAATCCAAGTCTCCAATCATTTGTTCATCCTCTGATCTCTCTTTTTCACTGCACTCTTGCTCTTCTGCAGGATCAGACTGTGTTGCAGTTCATGAAAGCTCTGTCTGGGCGTAGGCAAGCGGCATTTTCTCACAAATATTCCATTCATTCCTCATCTCTTTATGCTGGCAGTCCTTATACGTCGCTCTCTGAAATCTCTTCCTCCTTCATTTGTTTTCTGGGTTCTAGAAGAGTTTTTTCAGTAGATAGTGTGAAACAAATTTTAGAGAGTCTTTTTGGCAATTAAATGAATTGATCTTATTTTAGAGAAGGGCAGAGGCCACCTGGGAACCAAGGAGAATATTGTTCCTTTAGACTAGATTGAAGCTGTCAGAAATGTGTCACATGAGAAGTTAAGTAATCTTTGCCTTGGGCCAGGTCTGTTGCTCTGACAAGTAAAGGCAGTCCTGTTAATACACCAGACACACAGACACCCGCACACACATGCACCGCACGCTCACACAGTTTCAGTATTGTCAATGGAAGCCTTCCTCACACAAAGGGATTCCTGAAAATGCTGGAATAGCTCTCGATTTTATCTTTCACCACAGCTTCACTATTTCTTGTTTGTTTGTTTAATTTGTATGTATTTTTGTTTAACTTTTTATTTCAAGTTAATATGAGTGTCTATATGATTAGGTTGCCTTGTTTACGTTTGCAAGGTAAAGTCCAAAGTCTTAGTACAGTTAAGTCTTTCACTATTTCTCACTATTTCTTTATGTTCCAAAGCTGGCTCTAAGAATGGCTATGCCATTTCTGTATTCCTCTTCTGTAAGAATTGTGGGTGGTGAAGTAGGTTCCAAGTGAAAGTGT